TTCGGCTGCAAGAACATATAAACCCAAATAGTTTCCAAAAAAAGTTCGATTAATTAATTTGAAAAACCTGCGATAAATTCAAACTTTTAACATCATACAGGTGATAATGGTTAAATTTTCATAATCATATGGGTTTGGTGGTTACTGCTTCCGAGGCGATTTTACCGATTATAATCGGATGTCATAATTTGGTATATAAAAAGCAGACTGATGCATTTATTTCAAATTGATTCTTTAACATGAATATATAAAATATGTACTTTATTGTTTTCTTTGTTGTTTTGCTTATTTCACACTTAATTTCTACATACAATGTCATGCATGGTTTAAACTTAACTAAAATTTTCACTAGCCACGTGGGCTCCTAAAGTTTTAAATTTAGGAGCCTACAGCTAAATTCAATTTGTGATTTAATTTGAACCCTCTAATATATCAATGGGTCAATTAAAGTCTAGATATAATTAAATATAAAATACACTTGTGCATTTGTTTAAAATGAAAATTGAAGTTCAAATTACTTTGTAAAATAAATTTCATATATATATTTCATCATAGGAAATGAAATTGAATTTAATTAACAATTTTACTATCCTTTTTTGCAAGGTTATTTACTTAATCCCCTTGCCCTGGTCATTGGACTATTTTTTAGTTTAAATATTTTTGAAACTTATCTGGAATAAGAAGAAGCCTAATAACACTTCAATTTCATAAGACTGAGTAATTGGAAATAATTTAATTGGATATCTACCACGTATAACCGATACACAGAGGAATGGAGGAAATTCGGATTAGAAAAAAAGACGATCGTTTTCAAGATTTTTTCACAGAATCATCTGCAGTACTGGTAAATGGATTAGATGAAGGGTATTTACGAATAATAGGACCATGTTACTTTTATTTATTTAATTGATTGGAAGTTTTAAAGCAAAAAAACTTGGGGAATTGAGCGTCTGTTTTCAGAAAGGGGACTGGAATGGTCCTGCAGATTTTGAATTCGCCACGTGGGCGAACAACATAAATTTTATGAGCCTACACCAAAATTTACTCACGGTTCCTTTGCTTCGTGCTAGTTGGCAACTTTCAAAAGCACATTCCAATTTTCCTTCATTAAGAATATATAAATTTTAACCTAGGAATATATAATTCTGGAATCTACTTTACATGTATGAGAAGTATGTTTCCGATGATCGATTATGAAAAATTATAATCGATCATCGGAATCGGTAGCATTTTTTCGTCGACAATCGATGTTTTCCGATTATCGGTACAACACTATCATACAGTTTATAAACATGTTTTCTTTTAGAACATTGACTTTTAAAACTTAGATAATGATTTTAGAGAATGTACCTTTAACATGAAACATTTAATAATATAAGGGTTATGTCTGATACTAAAACTGGATATTTTTTAGTTTTATTGAAAGAAAAATGTGACATTAATTTGTGAAGCACCATGTGAGTTTAAAAAGTACGTTGAGCTGTATAGGATATATCCCATGTTAAACAATATATGGGAGAAAATTACTCATTGTCAATATCTGTGGGATTTATCCCATTTGTACAAATTTATTTAAAAAATCCTAGTGGGAGTAAATATTTCCATCTGACACTTTTTCTCCCATGGGAGAAAGATGGGATAGTACTAAGGACTAAAAATCTCACCAATCTTCTTTGGGATTCTGACTTTTAGGACTTCATATATTAAAAAATGAACATATGTTTGAGTTCAACATGAGACTCTGTGATACTGCTAAGAAATCTCGACAAGTGCTATAAAGTATAAATTACGAGGGTCGTTAGAAAAGTTCGCGGACACATTGAATTACGGAAAATCTATTGTGTACTGTGAAGTATGACCTATGTCTGAATAAATTCCTACATTTTGTTTATTGGTATGTAAAAAATCAGGTCCAAATAATAAAATCTTGAAAATTTACTACGATTTTTACTGAGGTTATGGACTCAGGAGCAATCACGACGTAAGGCAACGTAACAACCAGATTTCAACCCGTTAAGCTTTGTCGCAGTTCTGTAAATCTTTAGATTTTTCTGATCTTTTTTCTACTTTAAAATTGAATATCTATATCAAGACATGTTACTTTTCTTCTACAATGTCTTTTGTACTGATTCGGATATTATTGAGATCTTAAAAAAGTTCATGCAGTTAATCAGTTAATCGATCAGGTATGGAAACTATGCAAAACCATATAGGCGCAACGCAACGTCCATGCGATACGGGGGTATTGAAATATCGCTGGAGTTAATCTTTCAAAATGTCAATCCTTCCATTCTTATGAAGATACAGCCATTTGAAAACTTGTTCTTTGTAGGTGTGGGAAATTCCCGGCAGCATCTTGAACATTTTAATCTCTTTTTAGACATTTTCCAGTCTGCATACATAATTTTTACGTAGTGCAGTGCTCCATGACGCTCAATGACTTTCCGATTTTTGGCTGTGTTTTTACGCAATGATCATATACAAACGGCTATAAAACAGACATATAACCTCCAATTTAGTTCAAAATTTCTCCCAGTGACGTTTCATGAATACTTTAGCGGCAGGTAAAATATCATAAATCTCTTTGCGCTACAATTGTGCAATTTTTAATTTTAATAAAGTCTTTGTGATGTAAACGTGCCAAAATGTAGCATGCTCCGTGAAGCAAGTTTTATCAAAATAAAAAAGCTGTATATTTTTTAATCATCACCGGAGAGCATTAATTTCTTGTATATTTATTGGAAAAAAATGTGAATATTCTATCTGGAAAGTTTGACCTGTTTCGAGGAAATAGCGCGCTCACAATTGAACTTGTCCGCGAACTTTTCTAACACCCCTCGTATATCACAATTAGACATGGTAGTTAAAAGTCTGGGCAATGTCTTGTCCGGAGTTAAATGTGTCAATGTTTCAACCTTTGTATCATAACGGCTGCAATGCCTCTTTATACTTACAGGATAATTCTGTTTGTCTTTTCACTGTTTGTGTAGGAGTTTTCGTTGTGCTCTTTGGTTGCAAAAATCATCACCATTACAGAAACCTGTAAGAAGAATATCTCAACGATACAATAAAACCTTGTAAGACTTCTCAGATCTATATCAAGTAATGAAATTTTATAAAAGTAATTTGAAAGATTTGATCAGATTCAGTGACATACTGCTTGTAATCCCAGCGCAGGGGCAACAAACAACCAAATGTTATCCCAGGCAATCCAGCACCTAGCAAACAACATACACTGGTATTTTTTTCTTCTGAAGTTTTATTTGAGGTTGCAAAATTGAAATTCATAAATTTGCAATAAATAAGAAGAAAAGTTTTACGTACATATCTTTCGCATAATAGGATTCTCCTTGGGATCCAACAAAGGCGCCCACCAAAACACCGGGAAAAACTGACAAATGAATATTTTTCAACTGATTAATTCGGTTTTTATTTTGAATATAAGATAGCCAGGTTAATGACCAATTTATGTTATTTTAAAAAAAATTGTGCAAATTTTAGTACTAAACCTTCAACACAGAAATGATTTATGTACCAAATCGTGGGGTTAATGGATCTGTTTAAAATGTTTTTAATCATCCTTTTATAAATTACTACGAAACAATTATTACTTTGAATGCAAATTTTGGGGAGTGTTCGATAAAATCTTATTGCAAGAAAGGATACTCCATTGTTATTATTACAAAAATAAGCATTTCTTTCTTTTATTATTAAAATATTAACTAATTTGAGGACTTACGCCAGCCGAGGACGTAATAACGAATCATTGACCCGTTATCTGTGAGCTGGTCAGAGTGAGAATGGGCAGCATACGTGATGACGATATACTGATTAAAAACTTCGTTCATCAACCAGGAGAAATTGGACAGGAATGCATAATGTAATAAAATCGCAAAAATGTGACATATCACCTGAAAAAAAAGATAAAAAGTATAGAAGAGTATTCTTTCTTTAGTTTGCTATTCCAATTATGATTTAGCAGTTTCTAAATCTCATTCCACTCGCCTTTTTAAATGAAATATTACATATAACAACAAATTATTTTTATTTACTCACAGGGTTGTCGTACTTGTCTATACCCGCCATAAATACCACCTGACCTATGACAATGGACGCTGCCAAATTCTTATGGAGTGATGCAGTGGTAGTGGATGATCTAGAAACATATTCAGTTTTGTTATTTGCATGGAAACAATCAAATAAACAAAAAAAATCATCATATAGTTTTGATTTAAGTTTGGTAATCTACCTGAATCTAACGTGAATAATGATGCTGACAAGGCACATAACAGTTGTCAATGCGCACCCTGCATATGACGCAATATTCATAAGAATGGGTCTTTTAATGCCTCTATCCCACTAAAACAAAATTTTTAAAAAGTATACGGTATTAAAATATGATTAACAAAATACTTTTTTGTAAAGTTGAGGTTAAGTCATTGTTTTTCTTCACCATGGATAAATATAGGATCAGTTATAAGCATCCACTCACGTTAACATTATACATGTCCGTAATGAGGGCAAAAACACCAGGCATATAGCATTCACAGTAGCCCTCTCCACCTGTATCTGACACCAGGATACACTGATCCCTACTCCAAAACCACTGGCTCTGACTTTAATATGAAAACAACTGTCATAGTTTATACATGATCTGGATAATGTCTATAATACAATGGTCATGAAACTAAATTACAAGTAGATTCTTATTAAAATTTATAAAATCAACATATTTCAAATAAAATAATGATGTGAAATGTATAAGCAACCTTGATTTGTTCCGATTTGGGTGTTCAATCCTTACACACTCAGCATTTGATATATTAAATGTCTGAAAAAGAAGATAGAAATATTTTAAGCACTTTGAAAGGTTATAAAAGACGCCGATTTATCAGAAGAGGAAACTTACGTCTAGGTAGGCCGCGTGGTATCTGATTGGCGTACTTAGGTTATACGGTGTATAGTTCTCTGTATTGTGGATATAAAGAGCTAATATGGCTGAGTTCACATTATCTTCTTTGCTTTTGCTGCAAAAGATACATGATCACTAGATTTAAATACTGTACACTGAGTACATAAAATAGTAAAAATACTACGAAAAAAAGAAACAATATTATCTGTTTGTGAAACACTGATGCCCTGTAGGCAGCTTATGGGGAGGGTTGAATTCTCTCAAATGCATGTCAATCTCCAAAGGTCCAGGACAACAGTTCAAAAGTGTAAGGTCTTGTTACAAGGAATACACCTGTGAAATATGTCCCACCCACTCAATAGTTATGGGTTATGTTAAAGTTGACAACAGATACATGTAAACAGAAAAATTAACAGAAAAACAGGACAAAAAAAATAATATACTCCCGGGATCTTTCGATCCCGGGGTATAAAATTAGGAACTTACCCTGCATGATTCGGTAGATATTTTGCCAGGTTCCTGAATCGGAATCCAGATAGTTTTACATAATCTGAAATGCACAATTTATTTATATAAGGGGATCAAATTGCAATGGCTAATTTCCATACTTTAAAAGTATAAAAAACAAAAAAAACAACAACAAAAAAAACAATTTTAAAAATTTGAATAACATCAATTCTATAAGGGGATCAAATTGCAATGGCTAATTTCCATACTTTAAAAGTATAAAAAACAAAAAAAACAACAACAAAAAAAACAATTTTAAAAATTTGAATAACATCAATTCTATATAAACGTAAATATAAAAAGTTGCAAAAAGTAATAAACCAGTACACGTGTTAACTCAAAAATACCAAGCATCTATTGAACAGAATTTATAAATTGGAAGAGGATGTACTATAGAATCTGCAGAATAAAAATTACCAGATGAAATAGTCATGTTGCCCAGGGCATCGCCATCAGAAGGGAAATATCGGACCTCGCCAGCCTCTCCATTCAATCCAAACAGCACGCCATCAGAACCGTCAGGGAACATAAACTCTCTCATCGAATCTTTCCTCTGTATCTCTAGTTTGTATTCTGGATGAAGAATAAAATTATACTTCTTAATACATTGTATTACTAGTATATCTTAGGCTACTAGTATTTGAATTTCTTCTAATATTTATGGAATACAGTCAATAGTACATACAAATTTTATATTAAATTTTGTATTTGCCGATTAATTGGAAAGTGTCACAATTTGGAGCGTTTTCTTTACATGACGAAAGTTGGTTTCTTCATCTTGAAAGATAAATGTTAATGTTTTTAAAATGTGCATCTTTGAAAAAATTATCTATATGCCATCGAAAAACCTTTTCACTAATGTATATCGAACTTTTTGATTCCACAAAGTCTGACACATCTGTTTCATATTTGTATATCTTACTTGAAAAAGACGTTAATGGTAATCTAACAACTATGCTCTATGATAAACATGATTACTTTAACTTTTCTATCGTCAACTTTCCTTTGCAGCAATATACCTTCATCACATCCATGCGGGGTTTATATCTCACTTGATTTGATACGCAAGAGGTTGCTCTACCTATGTACAATTCCTAAAACGAGGTAATTATTGACAGACAAGTTAATGAAACAAGAGTATCAGCAATCTCGTTTAAAGTCATCATTTCATACGTTCTATGGTCGATACAATGACCTTTTCAGGTAACACAATTTATCTTAGAGCAAATGCTGACTGACGTTTTTCATATTAATTGTTAGGCCATAATTTACACACTGTATAACAAGGACCACACGGCAGGTGTGACCGGTCAGCAGAGGATGCTCATACCTCCATGGCACCTGATGTTTTAGAGGTCCGTGTTTGCTCTGCTCCTATTTTGTATTGTTTTGTGGACTTTTGATCTTGAATAATGTTCGTTATCTCCATATGTTTCATTGAATTAGATTGCAACTAGAATTTGTCTCTGTTGTAACTACATGTATGTCTATGTTGCAAGAATAGCAATAGGTCTAACTCGCCACAATATCCTGTAGGATGCAGTTAATTCAGATTCGACTAATTTATAATTTGAAATAAACATAATATTAATATATCAATACCTGCATATATTTTAAGCTATATACATGTAGATAACAAATAGTATTCTCAAGAGTCAATAAAACAATACAAAATAGGAGCAGAGCAAACATGGACCTCTAAAACATCAGAGGTTGGATCAGGTGTCTTGGAGGAGTGAGCAACACCTCCTGACCGGTCACATCCACCGTGTGCTCATTGTCATGATCGGAAAATAACGGAAAATCCATCGACAATTTAGAGTGTATATAATGGCCTAACAATTAGTATGAAAAACGTCAGAAATCATTTGCTCAAAGATAAAGAAGATGGGGGATAAGGCAGGCGAAATGCCTATAGTGCTACAGATAAGAAATGAAAAATTTAATTTCAATTATATCCAAATTTTATTTGATATTTCATCTAATATTAAAGTATACTTAATGTAAAATCTCTACAATTTACAAAAATCTCACAAACACTGAAATTATTTGCCCATGAAAAAGCATACACACACTAAAAAGAACAAAAACGGCACTTTCTCATACTCTAACAATCTTTTTTTGATATGAGTGGGTCTTAGCTCCATTTTTTTGAAAGATAATCCTAAAAAGTTGTAATAAAATATACATTTTTTGGTTTACAAAAACATGGAGCGAACTTCGCCAAACTTCAAAAGTACACTTTTTTGGCACAAAATTCGCATCTTTCTGAGAAATACTTTAAGTCCATTAAGTCAACGGTCATATCACAAACATGATTTAAATGTCCGAAATATTCATGAGACATGTAGCATAGTGGTTAGCGCGATAGTCTCAATTCGAAAGCAGTCTGATTTTTACTGCTAGGGTTCGAATCCCACGAATACCATCTTATACTTTTTATAAAAGAAAAATGTTTAAATGTCCGAAATATTCATGAGACATGTAGCATAGTGGTTAGCGCGATAGTCTCAATTCGAAAGCAGTCTGATTTTTACTGCTAGGGTTCGAATCCCACGAATACCATCTTATACTTTTTATAAAAGAAAAATGTTTTGCGAGATTTTTTTTCTAGCTCTTAGAAAATGTTTTTTTTTCTCATAATTTCAGAATTTCAATAATGAGAAGTTGGTTTAAATACACAATTCACATATTGAATAATTATGATTTCTTAATATCTGACGCTACAGGCAGTCTGCACGCCTTGTTCCCCATCTTCTGTATTTCGTGAAAAGGTCATTGTATCGACCATAGAACGTATGAAATGATGACTTTAAACGAGATTGCTGATATTCTTGTTTCATAAACTTGTCTGTCAATAAATTACAGTACCTAGTTTTAGGAATTGTTCATAGGTAGAGAAACCTCTTGCGTATCAAATCAAGTGAGATGTAAACCCCGTATGGAGGTGATGAAGATATATTGCTTCATAAGTAAGGAAAGTTAACGATTGAAAAATTAAAGTCATCAAGTTTAATCATTGAGCTTGGTTGTCAGATTACCATACACGTCTTTTTAAAGTAAAATATCCAAATATGAAACAGATGCGTCATGATCAGACTCTGTGGTATTTTTTTCCTCAAACTCATTTGGATATATCGTATGGACATGAGTGGAAATAACCATTGTTAATTGACAATCGTCGTCGATATACCGTAATGCAGATATACGTGTAATTATTTTTAAATACCTTCGACTATTATAAAAATTATAAATGATAGTTTAAATTTACTTTAATGATTAATTTTGCCTTAAAAGTTTCTTTAAACATGTATTATTATACTTTGTTGACAGAAAATGAAAATTTGCTGAATTAAATTGTCCCTTGGGCCGAAACATCTGTTTAAATAAAATTCAGAATTTAAAAATTCTATATCCCGTCTTAGGAAATATGTATTTCATACTTCGTATTCAATAGTAAGATAGATTAAAAATAAATTTCTTAATATGATGTCACTGGAATTTTATTTTATGACAACTTAATGATGTCACTGGACTTTTATTTTATGACAACTTAATAGTCTTAAGCTAAATATATAATTTAAAGAAATAAATGGATCTTTTATCCTTAACATAATTATATCATACTATAGCATTGATTTTGATACCAGCATAAGCGAAATGCCTACCAATGTGTTCTCTGATCTCTAATTCCGGTTTTTCTTTGTACTGTATTACACCTCTCTTCATCTGTTCCTCCAATATGTCTGCTACAACAGTTGCAAACTCCTCAACCACCAGCAGAAGGTTGTCCCCTTCCACGCCTGCAGGTTTGGTATTTTTCCAACCCGCATCATTTTTAGACTCCAACAAATTGTTGACAATATCAATAAATTTCTGCGTAAAAAAAATTAACAATGTAAAGGATGTGGTCAATGAATGTAGGAATGATAGCCGGAGTAGACATATTTCAAAACAAAAATTTCTTATGTGACTCGAGCTTTACTGTTAATCTTCTAACATAAGTAGAAAAAAGAAGTACGGAAACCTAACACTATGGCTACACCATTAAATAAAATAATTCTCCTTGGCAAGTTTAATTTCGGATTGGACTAACTGTAGAAGGTGTAGTCTCTTGGAAGAATTTCATAGAGACTTCTAGTTTTAGTTTCATATTAAAGAATAATTTTTATGGTGAAATGTAGCCAAAACTAAAGGAGGGGTAAAATTTTGAAATGATTTAACAGAAAATGTTATTTTTCAATAACTATCTCAAAACTTTTTGTCAAATCAAAACTGATATTTAAAAAAAACGTATCCTCCTGGATGCTATGTCTTGTGTGTATTATGTTTACTGGAATAAGACCTCAACTCTAGAAGGAGTAACATTCTGAAAGATTTTTTTTTATGTCTAGTAGCCAAGGCAACATCGATACATAAAATTGTGCATTTTTGTGTAGTCTATTATGTACCAAGTTATTGAAATCGGAACAAATTTGTGGAAGGCGTAGATTTTGGAAGGAATTCATAGAAACTTATATTTTCAACGATCAAGTTAACATCGTTTATCAAAATCAAAAATCCATTTACATTACTAAATAAATTAGGTAGTTTAATTGTTTGTAAAGTTCTAATGAAAGTAGGAGGGGTGATATTTGATTTCAGTTTTAAAAGCTGTCGACAGATGCCTTACTATCACACAAACTCTGCTGGTCTCTGACCTGTTGAGCTGAAAATCGTTTATCCTAATGTTTTAGCGTATATACATTTACAAAGAAAACAGACAACCTTTATAAGATCTTGAATGTTTTCTTGAGTCGGAGTA